TGCGTGTTTCTTTGGGATGATCAGAATCAACGATTCAAGATCACACGGACCATGGTGCATCAAAGGAACCAATGCATCCTTGCCCAGAATGGATTCATGAGCTCCTTTGATGCACCATGATACGAGTGATCTTGGATCACTGATCTGGGTCATCTCAAAGGAACGCATCGTTAGGATGCACTCTTTTGGGATGATTCGAGTCAACATCAATGATCCAAGATCACTCTGATCAGGGTGCATCAAAGACACCGATAAACTCTTGACCAGAGTGGATTATAAGCTCCTTTCAAGTGATCTTGGATCACCGATCCTGATCCAGGTCATCCCAAAGGAATGCACCCTTAATCTCTATTAACTGTTGTTTATAACCAGGTTGCACCAGATCGCGCGCTAACCTGCATATTTATCGGAAAGACGTCCATTACCAATGTTTCAGTTACACGTTTGCAGCAAAGTGCACATTTCGGATGAATTTCAATTTTTGATATTTACCCGAGAGTGTCGATAACTGAAATAAGTCGACGCCCTTAGGGACAATAATCGCGTGTTAGCAAGGGGTAGCAATGGCTGTAGCTGTCATCAGCTTGGGATAATCTGAGATAATCGGGATAATCTGAGTCACTACATGCATGACGGAACTCGCAACGTCCATCGTTAGCTGCAAAGATTATTACAAAAACAACCACAGATGTAATTCTTTACAGGTCACTTTAGCCAGTTGGTCTGGCGGGACTCTAAGGAGGTTGGGATTGGTACAGCTCAGAGTAAATCCGGGAACTTCTTTTTGGTGGCTCGCTACAGCCCCCGCGGAAATATAGACGGTAAATTCAATGACAATGTCCGGGATGTCGCAGAACAATCCTCTGACAAAAGCAGTCAAGGAACTAAGGACAATAACCAGCCTAACACTACTCCGGGTAAGGAAGTCCTATTTGAGAACCGGCTATTTCTAAGAAGTAAAAGCAGGAAAAGTTCGACAAGATTTGATATAAAACATTCTATACGCTACCTTAAAATGGAAAGAAAGTAGTTCCATTTCACAGCCAAATGTTGTTCAAATTTCGGAGGTCTTTCAGAGATATACGAGGCAAACGTGGACATGTGAGAGCCCTTGTATTTCGACTATATTATCAATGCTAAATACGGGCATACTACTGAGAAGTATCTTTACACTGAATAACTAGCTGTAGTTAAGTCAATAGTAAGCTAGTTTTGCTGTCAGGTTTTGGTAAATCTATTTCATAGCTATGGCAGTGGACAACCAGATTTTAAATGGATAAAATAATATAGGAATGCTGAACGTAATCAGATTCGCCATGTCATGGATGCAGAAGTTACTACTATGAACAGTTTGCAATACTCAGTTAAAACAATAAAATACCAACGGGATACGGCAAGTTTAAGTCGCTCTTCGGTAATTATGGGCTCGGTAACCTGAACTGTGTAACACCCCTATCTATACTTAAATTTTTACTTTGATTCACTTCAAGGCGAATCTTCAGACATACAGTCCAATGGTAAAGACCAAAACACGGTTTATTTTAAGGAGTTTAACTTTGAACCGAGTGCCACTGGATTGGAAAACACGACTACACCAAACCTTCCTCCCCTTCAGCAGGCTAATGTAGAGTCTGGCACGAATGAGGGTCCAGCTGTAGAAAGCATCCAAGAGCCTGAGACAAGCTTCTCAAGTTCAAGACCTGACATGCACGAGACGGAGAGCATACAACCTTCGTATGCGGGAGTTAATGAAATGAAGCAAGCTCCAAGTTCTTTCCAAGAAAGTTCATTAACCGATCCAGGGCCCATGATTAATAACGGTGACGTAGGCTCTACTGGTTTAAATGAAAGACCGAGCTTCGCGAATAGTGAGATAGATAAAAAACTAAGTTCATTAGAGCCAGTGAGTAGTAACACAGAAGGAACACCATTGTTTGAAGGGTCCAACATCAATTCCATCAATTTGCGGCCTCATAATCTGGGATCCGAGCATGGTGATACAAACGCGAGACCTAGTTATGCAAGTTCCAGTCCCACTGAGCCAAATGCGAGACCAGGAATCGACAGCAATAGCGCTAAGGAGACTTCAAGTTATGAACGCCAGGAAGAAAAGGATGCAAAACTTGACGCTTTTGCAAAATTACCAATGAGTGACGAGGTGCCGACGAAGAGCAATAAACCGCCTGGCCTTACTTATTTAGCGCCTATGAATGATAAAGTTCCCGTAGAGAAACCATTACACAGCCCGATAAAGTTGCCTCCTTCAATAGCTCTCCTCACACCAAAGCGAGGTATCAAACGTATTCTTTATCTTTTTTCTGCTTAGCATGGCTGATTTAGTGGGATATTGACACACAAACCCAACAAAGGGATCAATTGGCACAGTGCCCGGTTAGAATACTCACCTACAGCAATCTGATTGGCTGATTATAGTTATTCGTCTACTGGACTAAAAAACAAATCTAACTAAAAATACTGAATGAACGGAATGTTCTATCAAAGTTTGCTTCCATTCTTAACCGTCACCACATTCCTATGCATCAGTAAAATGCTATTTATTGTGCAGGAAAAGATTTTCGAGTGGAGATCCGCTTTCCCAAACTCCGCTACACAGAGCGGATGCGGATGCCGGGAAGTTTGGATTATGAAGAAGTCAAAATAAACGTGACTAGGGCAGTAAGTATATTGTTTGTTTTTGACTGAATAAATGTTACAAATCCAGGAGTTGAGATTCGAGCCCATCTTTGATTATCACGATGGTGCTGAACGGTCCTGAGAGGGCAGACTTGTCCATAGTCGCTCTTGTGTCTGACGCGCACAGTGAGCTTGATTCGTTCACATCTCTCTCACGCCTCTCTCGTAAATAGAGACAAATTAGAGATGACTTGGGGACGAGTAAGCTTGATTACAGAAGTAGGAGACACTATGTATTTTGGAAGAATGAAATGGATGACAACCATTGTGGTAGTAAATTGTATTCGACATTTTTGCGGTTGACTAGTGCTCCACGAGTGTTTCGTTGAGAGTCTAAGATTAGCCAATCATTGGATTTTGTGGATGGGTCTGGAATAGCCAAGGTTAAAAAAGTTGAGTTGCTATGGGGACTTTAGGGTGCTAAAACTTATCGTATTTATCGCACCGTGATGATGGCAATCAAAGTAACGCTAAAGGTATTTGAGTCCCTTATGGGTTTTAAATGCGAGCCTTCTCCTTGTTTCTGAGTTCCCTTAGGTTTTAAAAGTACGCTTTTAATGTTTTCGTCATTGGTTTCGTCAGATTATCAAACTATACGATGAAGATGACGAATTTGAAGAAGTGAAACTCATATCGCTGAGGTAGGACGGACATTGAATAGCAAACATTTTTACTCAAGCTAAAATAGAGCCCTCACTTGTGGATCTCTTTGATTCATACAAAGGAATACAGGATCGAAAACTTAAGTTGAATATTTTCCTCGTTCTCATCACCTGAATGTCTTACAATACATTACGTGATGAGAAATTGGACTATTTTCATTGCCCTTGAGAGTTAAAGTCCAAAACAAAAGCAGCAAAAGCAGCAAAATTAAGAATAGTTTAATGATAAGGGTGCGTCTATCGCATTACACAATCATGCTCAATTAAGTTTGAAGAGCAAGGAAGAAGTGTTAGAGTTATGCTCTCCTCTGAAGTGCTTTTCTAACTCCCAAGTACACCCATAACTTGACAGAGACAGCTAAAAGGCGCTAAAACATACAGCTAAACGTATGATTATATGAACATTCAGCGCCAAAACATAAGCTGCTATTGAATAGATTTAATGGTCTTTGGTCATTTTTTCCAGACTTCCCTTTTGTGAGGGTGGGGTGGGGGNGACGGGGTAATCCAAACCGTACATGAACATCTTTCTCCTTGGTTGAATACCTCCTTTACTAATGAACAGGTTCTCAAATTTGATCTTTTCAATCATATTGTAGAAGTGGTAGCGTGATTGCCACGCTTGGACTGCTGTTCAAGAAGGATGCACCAGGCCATCTCAACCGGTTATCGCTGGCTCTACTGTCAGGACAACTTGGAAACATGCCTGTGACGCCCAAGTACCTATCAGCTGGTATGAAAACAACGTCCTGCTTGTTCGCATGCAGGGTTTAAATACTTGTTATGAGTCCTGGGCTAACCAGACAACAGCTTTGGAAAGCATTCTAACCCATGGACCCATGGAAAATATAGGTGGTACAGCTCAAACAAGGCTGGAAACAAGAGGGATGATATCTGACCGGGTACCACGCTTGTGTGACTTGAAAGCGCAACTTTTCTAGAAAGCGGAGTCGATTGTATAAGTCGATTACCTGTACAAAAAAATACTATTACTGCAAAAATACTACAGACCACGCCGTGAAGATCAAGCCGATAAAGGAATTACGTCGCTGTACACGTAAAAGCTCAGCCTGACAGCACTAGTTGAACTAGAATTGAACTATACGTTTGTTTGTGATTTCAGTTGCCCTTCCGGCCGGATATCTGAGACCAAGCCGACCAATACAGAAACCAGGCACCGGAGTGTGCGCACAACCCTGCTCCAAACCAAATGTCTGTTACCCTACCGGGTGCTCCGTGTCATGCTGTGCTTTCCATCCTCGCAAGTACCATCCTCCAGCACACGCGTTACCTCCCGTACTCCCGTCATGCCCTGGGACCTGTGACGACAACTGTTTCCCGGATTGCGATGACGACTGTTGTTCTGGCATGATGGACGCAGAGGATGCTACTCCAGCTGCAACGTCTCCGGTGGCTGCTACTCCGGCAGCCATGGCTCCGGCGTCCGTTAGTCCCAGCATAACGTGCCCGGGATCTTGCCATTTTTCGTGTTATCCTCAGTGCAGCCCGCATTGCTGTGCCACACAATATGTCCCGAATCCTTGTCATCCCTCGTGCCCAGCTTACTGCGCGCCAAGTTGTGATAACGCCTGCTGCGCGGCTAGAAAATCAGTGGTGAACAGGTAAGAAGTGCGCTACAAACACTAGGGTGGCCTTCCCTCAGGCAAGATGCCTTGGTAGTCTATAAAAAAAAGCCCTTATTCAGAAATACATCCACCTGAATGGCCTGCAAGTACCTGTTGAGAAACGACTGGTTGAAAAAAAGAGTGAATGTTTAATTTTGTGAAAACCAGCGTTAAGTTGCATATGGTTCTTCAAGGTGTTTTTTCTCCTGCCAGAGTAAACCGAATGATTCCATACGACACACGAACAAAGCAATGCCTGTAAATGTTTCGTGGCCCAAGCCACCCACACTACAACCCGGATTTCCTGCTCTGCTAACTTTTCGATGTTTTTCTAGCCTCTCTAGAAAGTACAGCCGCTATAGGAGTGCCCAGCGAGCAATAGCACGTCAGCTTTACTTGAGAAAACATCTCAGAGTGCCGTACAGACGACCCAAACTTACTCGTCCTTTACGTCCAAAGCAGAGGTCCTACTACGCGAGACGTGTAACACCTGAAAGCCTGGGACTAGAAGAATATGATCGGAGCACCATTCACTCTGCAGACGGTGCTTCCGAACATGGCGCTAAAGCTCACTAGGGGACTGGGACCTTAACCGGTCAGTTAAAGTTTACAAAATAGTAAAAGCTCATCTGTAAGCTCGCAATGATTATCACAGTTTGAAAAGAGGACACAAATATATTTTTCCTTCCGATATTCAATTAAATACTTAGTCATCTTTTCAGTTTTCTTTTTCATTAAGAAATATTATCATAAATTCGCCATAGATCAGTGATAAACATTGACCAAAAAAACTTATTGCAGCTACATTTCACGCGGCTAAATAAAAACAAAACGATGTTTAAATAGAATCAGAAATAACACTGCCATCCTGACAGTCTTGTAACAGATTACGGATTACTTAAGATAGATGGCCTAGACAAAACAAGTGCAAATGAAATTTAGAATAGATGTTACTTTTTAATTGAAAACAAAGATAAGGTACATTGTATTTCTTGTACTTCTTTCTTTGAAGTGCAAGTTGTCGAAAAAATGTTTCAATAAATCTGCTTAATTTTCAGTATTCTCCACGGTTATTCTCTCTTCTCTCATTT